TAAATCTATCTACGTGAGACGATATTCGGATTCAAAATCAATTTTATTACTTGTCAACGAACCGTATACTTACGATAATTTTAATTTGAAATATATTTTTGTGAACGGCGTAACTACAAGTGGGAGGTAAATAAAAATTACAAGTTGGACTAGAGTGACCAAGGGTAGCATCGAGTCCATGAGTTGGGGGTCAAACTTTACTGGAATTTTCATTCAAAGTGGCTGATCCACCGTTCTTTACAACACTAACACAACGCAGACCTTCAAAGCCTCGTGGTACAACAATACCTTCAAAAATTCCAAGCAATCTCATAGGTCAAAACACAAATTAGCATGGTACCAATTTGACTCGACCTGTTCATCATCAAGAATCATAAGTTTATATATTAGAATCTCTTCCTAAAATATACAGCTCGAAAGTAGCAAATCTCCTTGTTTCAACTCTTTTACAAGTTGGGCTTCCCATACTCTGTTCTTGATATCATAACTACCCATGTGGACTTGCTTTTTCTGTTTGGATATGTGACATAATATGTATAATATAACATATTTTTCCCCACCATTTTTTCGCTCCCCAGCATGAAAATCGGCTCCATCCCTGCTCTGGTGAAGTAATGTATATTGTTTAACTTATTTAGCCAACAAAATTTCAATCAGTTGCATACCTCTATGATGAGCAATGGACTTGACTAATATTTTGGTTTTACCATATTGCCCAATTAGTTGTGCAAATTGCACCATCAATTTTTACTATAAATTGATCAGATTTTCAGTCACCAACACACAAAATAGTACTTATATTTCTGTCTGAAAAAATAATGGTTCCTATAGTTTTGGCCTTGTTCTTAATTTTCAGCTCTCAAATAGAAGCAGCTCAGCTTCAAGTAAATTTCTATAAATTTACATGTCCCAATGCAGAATTAATCATTAGACAGGAGGTCCAAAGAGCCTACTTTAGAGCCAGAGGAATAGCCGCTGGTCTTGTTAGAATGCACTTTCACGATTGCTTTGTCAGGGTAATGTGAATCGTATATCGTAAAATTTTTATTTTTTTTTGTAAAGTGGATTGTACTACACTTGACAGTCAACTCATTAATAAGAATTCATTCTTTGGTTCTTGCAGGGTTGTGATGGCTCGATTCTTATAAAATCGACTCCTGGAAATTCTGCAGAAGAAGATGGCCCACCAAATGCTGGTACTCTTCGTGGGTTTGAAGCGATCGAAAATGCAAAGGCTAGTCTTGAACAAGAATGCAGAGGAGTTGTGTCATGTGCAGATATTCTTGCATATGCTGCAAGAGACTCTATTGTCATAGTTAGTACTCTAAACTCGACACAAAACTGCAACTTTAAATTCCTTTGAAGTATGAGGACAACCTAATACATGCATGAAACACTTAATATCAGGTCGATGTGACAATTGACGTGATTTGTTCTTGCCATGTAGTCAGGGGGACTCGGATGGAATGTTCCAGCGGGAAGAAGAGACGGGCGAATTTCACGGGCCGAAGAAACTATTGATATACCAGCACCATTCGGCAACCTAGACCAAAACATTCGGGCTTTTGCCAAGAAAGGTTTGTCATCTGATGACATGGTTGCACTCCTAGGTAAGACAACCTTGCACGTACTAGACTTAAAACAAAAGTCATTGCATGATTTGTCCAATTGGCAAGCCTGATGTATTCACGAATACAGGTGCACATACAATTGGTCGCTCTCACTGCACGTCATTCAGTGACAGATTATACAATTTTAGCCCGACAAACAGTCAAGACCCAACCTTGGACCCGTTATATGCAATACTACTGAAGCAGCAATGTCCAAGAGAGCCTAATGGAAATGTTGATCCTAACGCAGTTGTTTTCATGAACTTCAGCCCAACAATATCTGAAAACAGCTACTATGTCCATGTTTTAAGAAATCGCGGATTATTTACCTCGGACCAGACACTGACTACTAGCCCAGATACTCTATCAGAAGTCAGAGACTATGCAAGGAATAACATGCAATGGCAAACAGATTTTGCTGATGCAATGATTAAGATGAGTCAAGTTGAGGTGCTCACGGGAAATGCCGGAGAGATTAGGCTCAACTGTAGGGTGATCAACCCATAAAACTCGATTATATTTATGCATTCTTAAAATAAACACTTGTAATGCAGTGTCTTCTTCTACTTATGCATTCTTAAAATAAACACCTATAATGCAGTGTCGTCTTTGTTCGACTGAGAGCATGGCTCCTCTCACAAATGGGACGTGGAAGTTTTGTTTCAGTCTAGACAGTTCTGCTTGGATGGAAACTGATCCAAATAACTTTTCAAAATGCTCAAACCCACTGCTACAAGAAGTAAACATCAGCATAGAACAAAGAGATCGGGCTTAGCTTATCCACTCACTCAGAAGAAGAAAGCGCATCGAACACAAGATGTGTTGAAGGAAATCGAGACTATTTAAGGTCTGCCAAAGGTGTTGAAAAGCTCAGAATCCGGCCTCACATTATGATGACAATCAAGAGTAAAACTAAGACAAGTTCAAAAAACTGAATGCACTAAAAAACTGAAAAAAGTCAGGCAGGGGGAGGGGGGTAGGTATCAGAAACATAAACTTTTAACACAAAAAGGCATAGTTCAATTACTCGATAAGGTTCGGGGAAAGACCTTAGTGAAGCAAAAATCTACAATCAATTCAAAAAATCATCACAAGAGGTATGCTTAAAAGGCAGGCTAATAATCCCATTTAGGTGGTTAACTCCATGATGGCACTGACTATGTCTCCATTGTGAGCCTTGAGAGCCTTCACAGCCTTGCCCTTGGACACCCCCGCTTGTGTCATGACCAAATCAATGTCCCGAGGCTCGACTCCAGTCTCGTCAATCTCTTCTTCGTCTTCGTCCTCATCCTCGTCCGCCTGTTCTACGGCAGCCGAAGCAGAAGTATCAGGTTTAGCCATTACAGAACCCATATCAGGCATCCTGAATTGTTGGGCAGCTTTTGTCTGCAGCTGAGAGCTCAAATCCTCAATCTTAGCTTCTCCAAAAATGACATAGGTATCAGAATTTGGGCTCTTGAAAACATCAGGCTTTGAGATGAAAAATAACACCTGCAATTTCATGAATTGGTTGTGAAATTTAGGAAACAGCCCCAACAGAAAGATCAAAGATGCATCCAGAGTGAAAAATGTATAGAAGATTACATTTTTGGTTCTCTTAATGGTGACCCGACTAACACCAGGAACAGGTTTCATTCCGAGTTTCAACATGGCCTTACGACTCTTCTTCTCACTTCTGCTCTGCTTAGAACTTTCATTTCCACCTGTATACAATTTTGCATCAAATTAATCATAAAGGAAGCAAAATATATGCATTGGTAAATGGCAATACAAGTTATAAATTATCATTTTGATTACAGCTTCGTGTTCATTATAATCAACAACAAAGAAGAAAGATTCATGCAAGAGAATAACGGATAGCCAGGCAAGACAAACAAGAGCACACTTCAATCAGCACGCCTCAATAAGTGGAACGTGCTAGACTCAAACAAATGGCAGGCCATTGACGAAAGCCCTGAGTGAGGCTCACCTCGAGGCCAAAGCCTGTGTCCAAACAAATTGAAATTATGCAACATAAAAGTATCATTTCAGGTTCTAAGCATATTAACCATCTCGCCTAAAAGCTTAATCTTGACAAAACAAATAAAAGTTCAAATGAAAACTAATATTTCCTCCTCATCTCAATCATTCTAGTTTGCAGCTATCATACAATACATTCCTAATGGCCATGTAAAACCCCACAAAATATAACCTGAAATAAGTGCCTACCACTTATCAAACCCATATCCTCAACATAAAAATATGCCTGGAGGAGATAAGTATCGTTAAATGAACATAGATAGGAAGAAAAAAAAATTAGTTTTTCAGAAAAGGGACCTGGGCTACCATCTTCCTTGTCGTCATCTTCCTCATCGGAATCTTCAGCATCATCTTCATGGTCCTCATCCTCTTTCACGTCCTCTATCACTAGCTCATCCTTCAGTCCATCAACAATAAACAGTGAATTTAATCCACACATACGCACAAAGAGACGTATGTATATATGTGAATATAAATCACAAAAAGAGGGTACTGATCTAATATTAAAATGTTACCTGAAACTTTTCCTCAGCTTTAATTTCTTCGACGACGGGACCCGGCATTTTCTGTTCAATTTTGAGGGTTTGCAGTCTGGAGATTGTTGAGGTTAAGGAGGAGGAAGGGATAAGTATAACTGGTTTTCATTTTGGGGCTCCGTTTATTGTTTTGGGCCTGGACTTTCATTCATTTTGAAACTTTTGGCCCACTGTACTGGGTCATAAGCGGTCCACAAATTAGGCCCATAATCAGTCCGTAGTCCATAATCAAAACTTTGAAACTCGATTTGGGCGCATCATTCACTGAAGTCCATGGCCAAGGCCATCGTGATAGGTGTGTAAGAGTAAAAGATTACTTTACCTTGAAAATCGATTTTCTAATTGAGAGAGCCTGGCATGGCATCCATAGGTAGGTCAAGTCCATATTATGATCCGACATGAAGAAGTAAAGAGAAACTATACTAGGCAAATCCTCGAAAAGAATCATCTTATTGGATCGAAGGTAATTTTCTTAAGCCATATGTCCCAAGTGTGCAACAAGCAATCTCTCTTGCTCTTGAAGGGGGGAGGGCCGATACTCAAATGGGGTTGGACTTTGGAGAGTGGCGCCCAGCACCTACCTTTCCAAACGATGAATTATTATTTATTAAAAGTTGGTGACATTTGTTGCGAGAGATTTTGATACAAGTATGCGTATGGAGTGTCGAAATGTATTAGACTATCTAAGTTGGGGCAGCTCGAATTGCTTTGGACATGGCCCCAAGGCCCCGACACAACCACCTCCCAGCTTGGCCCAAATGTAGGGGACCAAGTCAGCCCACATGGGCCTAATTTTCTTACAAGAAAACTCTGTAAACCCATGTAGAAAAGAGAAAATTACCATAAACAAGGTGTTTAATTTTGACTTTTAAAAATTTCATTTTGAAACTTTTGGCCCACTTTACTGGGTCATAAGCGGCCACAAATTAGGCCCATAATCAGTCCGTAGTCCATAATCAAAACTTTGAAACTCGATTTGGGCGCATCATTCACTGAAGTCCATGGCCAAGGCCATTGTGATAGGTGTGTAAGAGTAAAAGATTACTTTACCTTGAAAATCGATTTTCTAATTGAGAGAGCCTGGCATGGCATCCATAGGTAGGTCAAGTCCATATTATGATCCGACGTGAAGAAGTAAAGAGAAACTATACTAGGCAAATCCTCGAAAAGAATCATCTTATTGGATCGAAGGTAATTTTCTTAGGCCATATGTCCCAAGTGTGCAACAAGCAATCTCTCTTGCTCTTGTAGGGGGGAGGGCCGATACTCAAATGGGATTGGACTTTAGAGAGTGGCGCCCTGCACCTACCTTTCCAAACGATGAATTATTATTTATTAAAAGTTGGTGACATTTTTTGCAAGAGATTTCGATACAAGTATGCGTATGGAGTGTCGAAATGTATTAGACTATCTAAGTTGGGGCCAGCTCGAATTGCTTTGGACATGGCCCCAAGGCCCCGACACAACCACATCCCAGTTTGGCCCAAATGTAGGGGACCAAGTCGGCCCACATGGGCCTAATTTTCTTACAAGAAAAGTCTGTAAACCCATGTAGAAAAAGATTGTATTGGCCCATAGATCCAGCCCCACAAACATGTTCGATTTTTAAATATTTAAAATAAACAGTAAAATAACTTTTTAAACTTAGTCAAACATGCTAATAATTGCTCAACTCGAAAAACTTTCGAACAATCAAATATCTCCCTAATCTTTATAGGATCACCTCATTCGACGTACGATAAATCCACACATATCAGAAAGATAATCCGTCAAACTTGCAAGATTTATCACATAATCTTGCTTCCTTTGCTAAATTGTTGAAAAGTATATATGACACTCATCCATGCTTGTATGCATTTAATTTTGTTATATATCTCTCTTCTCTAATATTGTTCAATTAAAGGAATAACTATTTTATCAGGAAAATAAATTTATGTAATCACTTTAATTATAGGTACAGCCAAGAAGGATGCAATTCTTGAAGGTGGAATTCCATTTAACAAAGCATGTGGAATGAGTACACGGCACAAATCCAAGATTTAACAAGATTTTGAATGAAGCAATGTCAAATCATTCGACCATCATAATGAAGAAAATTCTTAAAACCCAGAAAGGATTTGATAATCATGGGGGAAAAGAGAGGACAGAAAGGGAATTTCACACCTTGGCCAAACAGGCAGAATTTATAAAATATTTGTTTAATTTTATTTTAGAAATACATTTTCTCTTTATTCTTTTCAATAATACATTCTTTAATAAAATAATATTACATGCAAACTCAAAATTTTTCCTTTATTTTTTAACCATACATTTTCTATCAATCTACTATTCCAAAATGCATTATTAATTCTTGGGTGTCGAGTAACACTTGCATGTACGTGTTTGTGAGAGTGTCACGTAAGAAATGAAAAAATGGTGAATCGAAGACAAAATAAAACATTCTATATAATTTTAAAAATATGTAGGGGTAGTCGCCACCCCTATCCCTCCTCCATTGGACTAGAGGTGTGAAGGTGAGTTTAATTAATCTATAAGCAATAATCAATTTATGTTTATCCCACTTTTAAGCAATTGGGAGTGGGGACACGTATTAGGTTAGGTAAAGAAAATCTATCGCTATTTTTTTTAATAATTTGGATCCTTAATTTGTTTGGTTCTCCAAATGGGGGGAATAAGTCTTCAATAGACAATCGATTTTGGCCACTATCATTTTGATTAATCATTCCCACCTAACCTATACTTACTTTTACTAAATTTGATAATAAAAACCCTTTTTTTTTTTTTGGGTCATTTGACCCCAAAGATATAGCATTCGAGCGTCTGAAATTATTTGTAATTTTTTAAGGTAAGAAAATATTGTGCAAGTCCTTCTCTCGACTGCATCAAATTCAAAGGAAGGTGATCGAGACTTTAGAATTTTTCTTAATTTATGTCAACTTGAATTAATCACTTCTTCTTGACCTCATTAACCCATTCTCACAGCCAATCTTATTAGCTAGAATCCATATAATTAAAGTCAGAGAAGTAGAACAAGAACAAGTCAAGAAATCTTTTTTTATTTTATTTTTCTTTTATAGTAGTATGAGCTTATATTTTTTTTATTTTTCTCACTTGTTGACTAATGCAACTCTACTCTCTTTCCCCTTTCTTTCTCTCTCACCCGCACCCACACATTCATCAAATGCATATTCACATATCACAAGTAAAAAGTTAAAGAAATATACATATATAATTTTATTAATTATACTTAAAAAAAAAAAAAAAAAAA